ACCATGTAACACAAAAGAGGTTAATGAAACTTCAAATACTTAAAACAATATGATTTTCTCCTCTCTCTCGTTTAACAGTATATTTTCTACTACAAATTTTGTTACTTATCGATTGGTTTCTTATACAATCGTATTACATTTATCTTGTCGGAAGCCCGAACGGTGACGTCTCGTGTCGTTGAGCTCCTCCCACATCCAGATTTTAGAGCTATCATGACCGTCGATCGACATTAACGTGTTGGATTAAGCTTATGCATACACGAGTGGGCCCGGCATCTATTGACAACATTTTTTGGGGTCAACAATTAATATTGATAGTAAGATTGGTGGGAAAAAAATGTTATAATTAATGGGTATTTATAGAAGAAAAAATTTTAAAAATAAAGAAAAAATAAAATAAAAGTGACCAAACGGTCACTGAAAAATTCAGTGATCTTTTGGTTCAGTGACAGTTCTGGTCACATGTTGACTTTATATATATATATATGCACGAGCCGAGCGGCTTGTAATAAATGACAAGCCCATGAGCCGGCTCGTGAACTCGTCGAAATCCGATAGACTCATCTAGCGAGCCGAGCGGCCGAGCCAATGAGCCGCTCAGCTTGATTGCCACCTCTAGATATTCATATAATTTTTTGAGAGATGAGACAGTGACCTAAAACGCTATTTGGACTCAAATGTGGCTGCTTAGTGGAGGATATATTTCATGTCCTTGTAGTGTAGTGTTGTGTTGTTTAATTTGTATAATTGGTACATGAATGAAAGCAAAGTACAATTTACTTTCTTTTCATTTGTAAATGAAATGGGCCACAGATGTATGAAAATTCTGTTTTGTACGTTTATTTTGATAGTGTTAATTAATGACCCAGTTAGATATTACATCAAGATGATACAGTTTGCAAGAGCACAAAGGCAGCCTTGAGAGCGGAGAAAACGAGGGAGACCGAGAGGATGAGAGAAAGTCCTGTGAATTAGTTAGGGTTCTTTCTTCATACAGGAGGATCGCAATCGTTGATCAAATCATGATCCATGGGTTACATACGGTCATTGAGAAACAATTTTAAAAGTGTCATACATAAAATAATCCACTTGGGACGGGCAAATATGTAATGTTTGTACTTTCTAAAATTTTTCAATTATAGAAGTCCAACTACTCCTAAGATTGTTTGGTGACCAAAAAGAAAAATAAAGAAAGAAAATCAAGAGTCAATTGCAAGAAAGAAGACCTTTTAAGAAGAAAAAATGTAATTAGTTCACTTACATTTTGATATTGTTAAGAGGGCTATTTTGGGAAATTTACCGAAAAGTTTTCGGCTCAAGTCATGTATGACTACGGCTGTTAAGAAAACACGTGTGCTCGTAGGTTACCTTTAATTGTGTTTTGATTTGTATCCAATGATATTGAGATTAATGAAAATGTGCAAAAGTTCCATCTGCCTATGCCATTTTATGAGTCTCTTCCTTTTGGCGTATGGGCGATAGTTAGGAAAAGTGCGTCAACGACGAACAGAAGCAAGGTTATTAGATACCTCAGGAGAGCCCGGCCAAAACCACACGTGCAAGTTTCCCTGAATATGGCTCACACCTGAGATCTTTCTACATATAGTAGTGGTATCCACCCCTATGGCCATGTTCTATTCGGAGGAATAAAAATTGTTCTAAAACTCTGATGTCAAACGAGGCCAGTTGAAGAGAAGCCTGTGATGGCAAATACACAGGTTTAGGGTGGCTAGGTTATGTGGTGGGTCGGGTCGGGTCGATCCCAATTCACCACTTTTGTTTGAGACCTGCCTAAAGATGGTCGGGCATAGGCCAAGAAATTCATATATTTAAATTTTTTATTAGTAGAAATTGAGTTTTTGCACACTTCGAAGAGCTGGAAAATTTTAGAGCCATGATCATTCCCAAGACATGTTTACGAGTTTGTATGACTAGTTTGAGCGTGGATGTATACCATGTTTTAAAAATATTTTTAAATTAATAGCTGATTGTATTTTGGCAATTAATAACGGGTCACAATCATCGGGCTCGATCATCTATACACATTACGTTTCGCATCCACTAGTATTCTGAATGTGCGCTGCTCCAATGCTTCGTGCATTGTGAACGTAGTTGCTCTCTCCTTTTTCATTCTGTTTTTGTGCACGAGTCCACAAGCCTGACGCAGCCCACCTTCAGAGGCAAGGCAGCACACTAGGCTAAGCCAATGCCCGGCAATCCGGCCAGTTTGACACCACCATGTTGACTTATGTGGATATCATGTAACGGAGATGAAAGGTGTAAAAACAATTTTTCTTGGTAACAGGATTATAGACATTTTTACCACAAGCCAAATTAAGTATCCACAATGTCCATGAAGCGATCTCATCTTGTCCTGCTTTTTTGGGAACAAAATTACTAATTCCTAAATTAGTATTAGAACCAATCTGTCCCTTGATGTTGGAAACAAAATATAGTCAAAATGACAAGAATGGCTTGTATAAAAATCAAATTTAATAAAATCAAGCTAGTAAAATTTGGATACCCACCTTACCAAACCCCACCCTCCACGCTCCACCACCAACCCAACCCCAGTGTCCAGATCTACTTCACAAGATTTGGTGATTGTTAATACTATAGTAACATGGCAAGTAGCCTACCACAACTAAATGCCATTAGGAGAATCTTTCAAGAAACTGTTCAAAATAACTCATTTTTTTCTTGAAAGACTTCTCCATTTTAATAACATTAATGTTGAACAAATATAACCACCAGTACCTTTCAATAGGGCATCTTTGTTGAACAAAACTTAACCATTTTCAATTTTCTTAAATCGTGTTCTGCCTATATATTGGCTGTAATGCTAATTTTGTTTAGACATTAATATCAGTTTACGAATCCGGCTAGTTGTCGTATACTTCTGCTTAACAGGTATCTTTCTAGTTTCTTACGTTTTAATGCTGCATAATCTGATTTTGTAGCCTTAGTTTTACTCACTAACGTTTTTTCCTGATTCAAGGTTTCGACATTTGAGGAGTTTGAAAGATGGAGAATGGTAGTAGCAATGTGATTGAGCTTGCTGTTAAACAAGGGCAGCCTACTCTGGTTCCTCCAGCCGTGGAGACGGAGAAGGGGCCATACTTTTTGTCCAATCTGGATCAAAATATTGCAGTTATAGTTCGTACGATATACTGTTTTAAATCAGAGGAAAAGGGCAATGAGAATGCTGTGCAAGTTATTAAGGATGCCTTGTCGAAGGTTCTAGTACACTATTATCCTCTTGCAGGACGGCTGACAATTAGCCCAGAAATGAAGCTTATTGTGGATTGTACTGGGGAAGGTGCTGTATTCGTCGAGGCTGAGGCAGATTGTGAGCTTGATGGTTTGGGTGACATTACGAAGCCTGAACCCGTGACTCTTGGGAAGCTAGTGTATGACATTCCTGGAGCCAAAAACATACTAGAAATTCCTCCTCTGGTGGCTCAAGTAAGTGCATCTCTTGGTTTATACCAGACTTCAAGTTTATGCTAAGAAAATTTGTATAGATATGAATTTGGAAGATTTTTGATGGATGATAGGACCAATCTTAATTTAGTTCTGCGTCCTTACATATTGTCTGAGGCTTGAATTGGCAAGATCATTAACACACTCAAGTTCGACATATCCCATAGAGTATTGAACTTCGGTTTTTGTACATAGTATTAGACAATATTGAACATGAAATCGAAAATCGAACAAATTTAGAAATTCTTTTTCTTCTTTAATTGTATCCAGTACTTTTCAATAAAACATGCCAAACATTCCTTGCTCGTCTTAGACATCCTTATTAAGGGCTAACTTGCTTTTCAGGTGACAAAGTTCAAATGTGGAGGCTTTGTTCTTGGGCTGTGCATGAACCATTGTATGTTTGATGGGATTGGTGCCATGGAATTTGTGAATTCTTGGGGTGAAACTGCCAGAGGCCTTAAAATCAAGATTCATCCATTTATGGACAGAAGCATTCTCAAATCCAGAAATCCACCTAAGTTGGAATTTCCCCACCATGAATTTGCTGAGATTGAAGATATATCAAACACGACTGAACTTTACGAAGAAGAAATGCTCTACGAGTCCTTCAGTTTCGACCCAGAGAAGCTCGAGCACCTCAGAAAGAAAGCACTGGAAGATGGGAATCTAGAGAAGTGCACCACGTTTGAAGCCCTCTCAGCATACGTATGGAAAGCTCGTAGCAAGGCATTAAATATGAAGGCAGATCAACAAACAAAGCTTCTCTTTGCAGTTGATGGGCGGTCTAGATTCGAGCCCCAAATTCCAGAAGGATACTTTGGCAATGCAATTGTGTTAACAAATTCACTCTGTAAGGCAGGTGAATTAGTTGACAATCCATTTTCATTCGCAGTAAAACTAGTTCAAGAGGCAGTGAGAATGGTTACAGATGGTTATATGAGATCTGCTATAGACTATTTCGAGGCAACTCGAGCTAGGCCTTCTTTGACAGCAACCTTGCTGATTACTACATGGTCGAGGCTATCGTTCCACACTACAGATTTCGGCTGGGGAGAGCCAGTGCTATCAGGGCCCGTAGTTTTGCCCGAAAAGGAAGTGATTCTCTTTCTTTCGTATGGGAAAGAAAGGAAAAGCATTAATGTGCTTCTTGGATTGCCTGCTCCTGCCATGAAAACATTTGAACGGCTGATCAAGATCTAAGAGAATATTTTCCTTGTTGATCCTTTGTTGGTTAATTTCTGTATGAAGTTATAATGTTGAATTGTGTTATTTATTGGTAAATTTACATTCGATCCATCGATGCAGTCCATGCCAGACTATGTTACTTCAGGTGCAGAATTGAAATTCTATTCATGTATCTACAAAGAAAGTGGCAATACAGTGTTTCCTGTTCCATTCAGTTTAAACAGAATGTTTTGTTCCTTATTCACTTCTCTGGTTTTCGCTTTTAACGTTTAATTAAACCATATTATACTCCCCAAATACAAAAGCAAATGATTTGAGGTGAGACCACAATATTGGACCAATGGGATCATATGATCAGTCCAGATTTATTAAAAGTTGAGAGGTTCCATCTTAAAAATGTCAATATTATTAGTGAAAATTATACCTCGCCCATGTTTCTTAACTTCCGATGTCAAAAATAAGGTTGAAAAGTTTTTGGTACAAAAATCAGGCGATAATTCAATTTTTTAATAATAAATATTAATATTATAAAATTAAATTAATCTACATGCCCGCACCCAACCCATTTCACTCCAATCCCTAATTCATTTTCTTCTTCTTTCTCTATCCTCACGATTCTCTCTCTACCTCTCCTTTTTTCATCATCGGCGCTCACAGTGGCGAGTGTAGCTTGTTGCTGTTAGCTTCAGTGCAACAGCATTGTAAGCAAGCATGACGACAGCATCGCTGCTCTGCTGTGAAGCAAAGCTAAGATTTGGCACTACAATGACGATCATCCGCTGAGCGATGATTAGCGGAGCGACACTACAGTGATGCTCAAATCTAACGCTACAGGGAAAAACGCTACATTGTAGCAGCGATTACTGTGTCATCGTATAGTGCTCAGATTGCTACTATAGTGACGCTAGCCATGATTTTTGGCGGTGGTTTCTTTCTATTTCAATCTGCTATTTAGCAGGTGTTTTGGAGTGATTTCTATTGGTCGTTGATGGTGTTTTGCAAATGGTGGTGCATGTGGTGGTAATAGTGGTGGCGACGATGGTGGTTGTGATGGTAATGGTGAGATGGTGCTAGCAATGGGATATACAAGTAAATGACCCAAATTCAAGGCCACAATTCCAAACTAACCCCAAACTAACCCATTTCACTATTCAACCATATCAACTACCTATTTTAATTAAACCATATTATACTCCCCAAATACAAAAGCAAATGATTTGAGGTGAGACCACAATATTGGACCAATGGGATCATATGATCAGTCCAGATTTATTAAAAGTTGAGAGGTTCCATCTTAAAAATGTCAATATTATTAGTGAAAATTATACCTCGCCCATGTTTCTTAACTTCCGATGTCAAAAATAAGGTTGAAAAGTTTTTGGTACAAAAATCAGGCGATAATTCAAATTTTTAATAATAAATATTAATATTATAAAATTAAATTAATCTACACGCCCGCACCCAACCCATTTCACTCCAATCCCTAATTCATTTTCTTCTTCTTTCTCTATCCTCACGATTCTCTCTCTAACTCTCCTTTTTTCATCATCGGCGCTCACAGTGGCGAGTGTAGCTTGCTGCTGTTAGCTTCAGTGCAACAGCATTGTAAGCAAGCATGACGACAATCTGAGCATCGCTGCTCTGCTGTGAAGCAAAGCTAAGATTTGGCACTACAATGACGATCATCCGCTGAGCGATGATTAGCGGAGCGACACTACAGTGATGCTCAAATCTAACGCTACAGGGACAAACACTACATTGTAGCAGCGATTACTGTGTCATCATATAGTGCTCAGATTGCTACTATAGTGACGCTAGCCATGATTTTTGGGGGTGGTTTCTTTCTATTTCAATCTGCTATTTAGCAGGTGTTTTGGAGTGATTTCTATTGGTCGTTGATGGTGTTTTGCAAATGGTGGTGCATGTGGTGGTGATAGTGGTGGCGACGATGGTGGTTGTGATGGTAATGGTGAGATGGTGCTAGCAATTTTTGTGGTGGTCACAAATAGAGGTAGCAGTGGTGAGGGTAGCTCGACGTTCTATTGGTGGTGGAGTTGGGGTAAGACGAAGAGTGTTCGTAACTAATTATTTATATGATTATGACTAATATAATAAATTGGTTAATTTATGGCCAATAAAATAAATAAATTATGACTTAATAAAATGTGAAATTGTAACTAAATTTGTAATTGTGATCAATCAATTTGAAAATTTGTTGTCGATAAATAAGTTGTGACCTGTAAAATTTGTAATTGTGATCGACAAATAATGTGTGACATATTAATTTGATAATTTGTGATTGTTAAATAAATTGTGACCTATAAAATTTGTAATCGAGAAATAATCTATGGCCAATTAATTAAATAATTTGTGATCGATAAATAAGTTGTAACGTATAAAATTTGTGATTTATGACTAGTACATAATTGTGATAATAAATTGTATAATATTGTGATCTTAATATATTTAATTAATAAAATTTACTTAATTATCTTTTTAATTAATAAAACTTAATTATGACCTAATTTTCGAAATAATAAAACCAATTTCTTAATTTTAAAATTGTAGGTGGTACAAATAAAAGATCTTGGTATAAACTGCAAAAATTGGACATTAGGGGGTGTATCTTACTTCAAAGGTCATATAGGAAATTTTCAACTAATTTGAAAATGAGATATTTGATAATAAAAGGATGAATCGCATTCTTGGCAGTCCTCACGTGCCCTGCCATGAGTTTTGGTGAATGAGGTAAATCGCAGATTATGCTTTCAAGGGTATAGAGTGGAAGGCTGCTTGATAATAGATCTATCAGTTGGAGGGTATTGAGCCAATAAGTCAAAAGAGTACTATGCATACACATAGTCACACAGCACACGTCAGTTCCCATTATATAACACCGAAGACAAACTTCAAATAATTACTTATCTCCATCTTATTACATTAGTAAGAAGCAGACTCATATTGCTAACAAATCACATAACTCTACTTCAAACACAACGAAAGTGAGAAGATGGTAAAGCACATATGGTTTATACACACACAGAAACTTACCATATTGCACGTAAATGCAAATAGAGTAAATCAATCACAAATTAATCTTGACATATTGATATCGCACATAAGGGTACATAAAAGTTAGGGAAAATTGCAGTCGCGGTCCCACACATTTTTATTTTTTGCAGACTTTACTCCAACATTCACTATTTGCCACCACGGGTTCCAAACCTTTGAGAAATTCACACTAGAGGTCCATCTGGACCGAAATCGTCCAAATCACTGTTAGTCAATCGGAAAATTAAAAAAATGAGATATTTTGACCATTTTAGGGAGGGATATTTTCGTCCATACAGTAATTTTCATTAAAAAACTGAGCCACGAGCCTGTCTGACTCGAACTTTTACGGGCCAAGCCGTCCAAGCCGACGAGCCACCCTAAACACACTAGTCTTGTGAAAGCCTGAAAAAGGGCTGTCCTAGCCAAACTTGGTCTCTAAGTTTAATGTTTCAACTCTTTGGTCCTCAACCCTAAATTTTCCCTTCATTCAATTGAGTCCTAAACATTTTAAAACTTCTAAGTGGAGTTCATTTAGTCCCTAAATAATTTGCCGTGTCTCTAATAAATTCCAATCTAAAATTGGTCATCAATGCCTCAATTTTTTGGGTTATACAACTAATTTCGACTTTATAACTTCATTTTTTCTTTTAAATAAATTAAAAATAGGTTACAATTTGTTTTGGCATTACAATTTTTTGAGAATTATTGTTACGTTTCCACCTTGCATAGGTCTATGATGTCTACGTAGAGGCCAAGTGGATGTTCGTACATGTGACAAAGAGGCTCACACTTATGGACTAGCCAACCCTAAAGAGTTAGAACTTCAATCGACAAATCAAAAGTCTAGTCGAGGCTTGTAAGACTTAAATGAAGCATGGGGACCTAAGCTCAAGAACAGTTCCAAGGACTTAACAACTCAAGTGGACTAAAGCCCAATGCTCAACATGGCGGTTGAGGCCTAGTCGACCACCCCAATACGATAAATGACAATCCTCAGAGTTGGAGAAGTCCAAATTTGAGTACATCGAGTGCAAAAATCACAATCTAACCTAAGACATAAAACCTAACACAAAAAATAGCCTCGGACTTAGAGGACTATTGTTACACCTCCGAAGTTTCAGTCATCCCTACACAGAGGTCATGTGGAGGCTTTGAACGCTTGGAGGAATCGAAGAATCAAACCAAGGAGCCGAAGCAAATATACTTGGGGTTCGAGAGTCGAGCAGATTCCCTGAGCATAGTAGGGTTGAAGCTCTAGAGAATCAACATTCTCATGCCCACTAATAATTTTGCTATTTTAGGCAAACCTAAAGTGTTGGTGTAAGTGACCTCCGTCAAGAACCACTTCAGAAAAATGATGTGACGGGTCGACCACCCATCCATTGTCAACACGTGTAGAAAAAAGTTTACTCTTGAGGTAAAAATGTCCCTTTGATCTCTGAACGCTATAAATACCCTACATAATCCTTTAAGCTAGGCATGTGATTAATCCTAATCAAAACTGTGTCAATTTGCCTCCAACCCCAATTTTTATACCTAATTTGATCATCGAAGTGCATACGTTTGTTGTACCTCCCAACTGAGCAACGATCTTGCATTCTATTGTCATCGTAAATGTGTAAGTACAATACATGTAGACAAAGAAGTACCTTGATTTTGTTGACTCTGGGATCGACCGAATTATTGGTTTTTTTGCTTCAAGTCTCAGAAATGGATCCCGTTAATTGTCAAAAACACCTTTACTGTTCACGTAATTAATATTGTACCCTTCGACCTGAAAATTTACGTTCTTTATCAACTAGTGGCGGATGTATGAAAAAATTTTGAATTTGCGCGCAAAATATTTTATCACGTGAACGTGAATGAAATTAAATACGTAGAAAAAAAATTTTAAATAAAGGATGTCACGAGCTAAAATAGGCCAACAAGTCCAGGCTTCCCCCACAATAACCCAGTATTTCTATCTTACACTGTAGCAAAAGCTCTTAGCAGGAAATTGCAATTGCTCGCGGGCGTCTTCGAATTGGATTCTTCTGCCTTTCTCTCCCCAAAATCAAAGGTGAAAATGAAATGGCGAACGCTGCATTTCATAGACTTTAAATGCTTTGTGTGTGCGTGTGTATATATATACATCTTCATGCTTAAGCCAATGTATCATCAGCTTTTTTTTTTTCCTTCTGGGTTTGCGTTAAACTGGATTGGAATAATACTGTGTTTGCCATTTAAAGTTTTGGTTCTTTTATTGATGAATTTGTTCTGTGAAAATTCCAGAGGTATTTTAGTTTCTCATTCTTCTTCTTTTATATATAATATATATACACACATACATATACGTGTATGTAAAAAAACCTCACGTGATTATTCCTTTCAAAGCCAAAATTTTACCTCCTTTGATACCTGATGTATGAATAATATGTTTACATGTGTATTCATACATATAGATGTACTATTATAGTTTGTATCGGTATATATTGATGTGAAAAATCGTTTGATGCTATGGTGTTGCAGAGTTGTCCAGTCATATCACTGCATTTTCTTCTCTCCATCGTATTTCAGTCAAAAATTAAAAGAATATAAAGCTGCGATTTCGTCAGTGGACTGATTATACAGTTTCGTTTTGGCGGTGATCTGCTGGTCTAGTTCCCAGCCTATTGGCAGCTATTTCCGAGTGAACTCAATAAAACGCAACTCAATCTTGCTCTAAGAACTTCAAGGGCTTTGTTTGAAAAAAAATAAAAAATATGAGTTTCGAATCATTGACAAGGTGGCGGGGCAACGCTTCATTCACGGTGGTGTTTGCCGTCACATTATTGTTGTTAATTAGTGGAATCTATACAGGTCAGTGTTCGTTGAACACACGTGTGTGCGCGCGAGCGCGCGCGGATGCTTTTTGCGTATTGTATTCAATCTTTGTTTTGTGGGTACAAATAAAAAGCTTTAATTTGTTTAATTATGGCCTCTCTTTCATCGACAACATGCTTCATTCCTTATTTAATCCCTTTTCTGTCATGTTCTTGTTTTGAAATTTTAAATGATTTGGATAATACAATTATTCCATTCCCATTTTATTTTTTGTTCCTAAAAATCCAATAATATTGCTCGATTTACAAGGGATTGGCTTTTTTTTTATTTTTCTAATTTTTTGTTTGATTAATTTAGTTTCAGATCATGGCTTGATGAAGTTCAGTCCAGTTTCTTCTGTGAAGAGCACAAGCAGTACTGCCCAGAACTGTTTCTATTCTACTCATCGGAAGCTTTTCATTATTGGTTATTAATCCATTCTCTATCTTTAAAGTTCTCAATAAGTGGTTTCAGTTTGAATACATAATTCGTACACTGATAAACCTCCCTCATTAGTAGGATTTGGACTATGCATGAACAAAGAGTACAAAAAAGAGAGACTCTGAATGCCCAGTGTACATACCACTGTTACAAAAATGTATGTGTTTGTGTAATTCTGTGTTCTGTGATTGTTTTGCCTTTTGCATTGTCCTTCTTAGGCGAGACTACATTGTCGCTTCTATACTGCCCCACCAAGCAGCATTGGCGCAGCCTTAGCCACCCTTTTCTCTCAGTTCTGTGTACAATTCTGCCTACTTTACCGGCTCAACAGGTCCTCTGCCACTTTTGCTTCACGCTCTCCCCACCCTCCAAGCCAATAACCTACTCCTTCAAGTCCATTTTGGGTGGTGCGTCCCAGTCCCTTCTTCCCTCCTTCGGTGCCAAAATGTGTTGGGCCGTCCAAGCCTGAGTGGACAAGCGCACTCCACATTGCCTGGTATGCTGTAGGCCGACCAATACACAACCCATTTTTCTTAGAGCCTACTCCTGCTTCTTGAAGTCTTATATTCTTGTGATTATGTGTTACAATGAAGTTACACATCGAGTAATTAATAAGGTAATAAAGAATTTGGCTACATTATTTTGCTTTCAAGTAGATGTTGGCACATGCTTAACTAAGACTTCTTAACTTAACATTTAATGCTGCTGCATTTTAGCTTTACAGAGTAGATTAGTAATGTTAAAAAGTTGGAAGAAAGATTGAATGTAATTGAAAAAAATAAAGGGTCTATGTTCTCCCCTATTCCATTGCCTCTTTTGGCTTGGTTGACTTGAAAGCACTAATTCCCCCCTTTTGATTTTTGGCTCTATTGTATCTTTCCTTTTGCCTTTGCAGCAACTCCCAAAAGTTTTTATAGAGCAAGTATTATAAAAAGTGAGTTTTTTAGGAGAATGTGAGATTAAAAAGTACAGAAAATGTTAGGTTTACATGCAAAATTATTTTATTGAAAAAATGTGTGATTGAAAATAAGTTCGGAGGAAAACGAGTTTAAAAGAACGAGGCACAAAGAGAAACTTAATTTTTCTATTATTACCTTGAAAAATGGCATCTTGTTTAACACTATAGTTAGTCTTGAGTAAGTATATCAACGAGCCGAGCCCAAGCTGAAAAAAAAAAATAGGCTATGGCCGAGCTTTTGGCCCCCGCCTTAGCGGGCCGAGCCAAGCCTGGATAGAGCCGTTCAGATTTTATTTTTTTTTAAATGTCAATTCTACATTTTTATTTCAAAAATTTAAAATTTGTACGGTATGTATAAATTAAATAAAAAAGTTCGGGTTCGGCACGAGCTTTTTTGGGCTCGAGCCGAGCAAAGTCGGGCCAAAAAAAATGAGGCTCGGCACCCTCGACTCGATTTTGCCTCTTGAGGTGTCAAAGGTGGACTGCGCGACTCGATTTAGAGATGTCCCAGCACGCCCATGGCCTGGCTTGTGATATTGGTAGATGGTCCCAGTCCGTGCTGTGTGTACATTGGGCACTTTGTGTGTTAGGGTGGTTTGATACTTTTTAACGGGACCTTTCTTTAAATATAATGGACATATATGTTTGATGACACAACCGAATAACATTACACGACAAGGGTTTTTTGTGCTCAAGTAGTTCATTTGTCTGTATTTGCTTGTCTGTTAAACTGCAGGAGAAGAAGAAGGGGAAAAGAATAACGCGGCGAACCCAAGTAGGATATGGAGCGATAATTGTTCTATTTCAGACATAGTTATAAGCCAAGGACAAACGCAGCCGCTGCCAAATGGGATACCTACATACACCGTGGAGATCATGAACGTGTGTGTTGTGGGGTGCAGCATTTCGAGGATCCATGTCAGCTGTGGGTGGTTCAGCTCTGCTCGGCTCATCAACCCCCATGTCTTCAAGCGGGTTCACTTTGACGATTGTCTGGTCAATGATGGTAAACCCCTAGAGTATGGCCGTACAATCTCCTTCCAGTATGCAAACACCTATCGTTATCCCCTCTCAGTTTATTCCGTTACTTGCTGACTAAAATTGGTTTTAATTCATTGGCAATCTGCTAAATATGTATAGAATTGATTTAATACCAGAGAATACCGTATAGGAAATGCGACCATGTTTTTGCTATTTAGTTTTTTGTCTTATATACCAAATGAACAATGTTAGATGTACACTCAAAATTTGACATTGTATTTGACACTTAATTGTTTTCAAAAATTTGTCGGCAGAAAAGTGTCCAATACGATGTCGTCAAGTGATACGATGTAAAGAATAATGTAAAAAAATGTGTACATATAACATGATTGATACCACAATACACAGGGTGGAGCATGGTGGGGCAAGTGACCCACCAACATTTTGATTTTTTTTTTTAACTTTAATTTTTATCTTTTGAAAATTGTTTTTTTTCTTAAGAAGAAATAAAGATTCAGATGAAGTGCAATAAACTTAATTAGTCTCTTTAGTCCTCATTATTTTCAAAATATATTTTTCTTTCTTATTTTTCAATCACATTTTTTAACAAATTAATATTACTTACAAATTCAACACATTTCCTTATTTTTTTAACCACACATTCTCCATCAAAATATTTCAAAACACATTTCGTTGAAAAAATGGGGATCAAATAGGGTCTCGGTAATCCTCCATTTTTTGAGTAAGCTTAAAAATTACTCAATAACTTGTTCAAAATGTAAGTTGAGACCTGTTTCTCAAGAAATTCCCTTGTTAAGTAACTTTTAATTATCATATTGAGTCCCATCTAATTTAACAAATTCGTTTTAGTATGGTATTATTGCAGAACAATCGATTGGAGAACCGGATGTACCTACAAATCAGTAAAGCATACCTACCATTTTAAAAAAAAAAACTACTTTCATCATTTATCCATTTATAAAATATTCATCTGCTCTATATAATTCATGATGTCGTCTTAGTTCAAACTCAAGATAGCTATGTTACTTATTCATCTACTCGACATAACGTTGCTACCTTAGTTCAAACTCAAGATAACCATGTTAAGTATTCACCAGAAATTTGATTTGTGTCTGAGATGAGTGATTAAACAAGGAAAAAGAAATAAAAGAAGCTGGTCAACTTAAGTTATTTCGTTTTTAAAAATTGAAAGGTAACCAGTATTCGACAACGGTAACTTATAATTTCAAATTATTATTTTCTTTGGCCAAAATGCAAAGCGATAGAGAAAATGGGTTTGAATTAGTTTTATTGTCTTAAATTGATTTAGAATGAATTATATTTTTCACAGCTTTTTTTCAAGTTTGATTGTGCCCCTAACTCAAAATATTTGTGTTTGCCACTGCAAATACTCGTTATACTAGAGATAATAGAAGCACGTGAAAAGAACTCGGTGAATTTTTGGACCCGATTTTCTCTTGATTTCTTTTTTTTTCCCTCCAAAGAAGGCAAATAAAAATGAAAAGTACATTGAACTGGCATTAATTTCTAGCTAATTAATCATATTCTGCATCCCAAAAATAAAGATGTGAACATGTGCACCTGCACGTGTGTTTTATGAATAGCATAGACTTACAGCAATGTCTTTGCGCAAGAAGTCATAGAACCACGTAAAAGCACTTAATGTGAGGAAAAATGATAAAAGAAACGGCATGTATTTCACACTTTTAGTCCTTATGACTTATCTCTGCAGATGAACTTACCAATAAGTAAATTTCTTAATCTTAGCCAAGCATGTAGAGAAGAAGAAGCAATTTACCAATAATGCAACAAATACACCTAAAGAAAAGGAGTTTTCTAAAGGTACAGATTTTTTTTAACAGAATTAATACAGAGAGACGGTTGAAAAAACAAGACAACCCCGTCTAATAATAATGGCTTGATAGGATCCTTCATCCTTTTTTTGCTAGAAAATGAGATTGCAGAATTATCAGATCAAAGCCAGTCACATCAAGACTCTAGATTGTTAAAATTCTATCACAATCCAAAATGCGTTTTCTTCCCTAATGCTCCATTTAACCAAATTTAGAGGGTTTCTTCTATGTGGAAATTAAACTATTCCCTACTTTTCAAGATCTATATTTTAAAATCGGATCTGAAATTTAAATTTTTAAAAATCAGATATTTTTTAATTAGATACGTTATAATTATATATATTATAATTACATAATTTAATTACCCAAACCCACACTAATCATTTCATCCCATTTTCTCTCCTCTCTCTCTCCATCCCCGAAGCCAACACATAGCCCCCACACCGCCGGCACCACCAATGCTTGCACTACCTCTCCGGCGACACCACTACCTCCATCTCTGCGTTTTTGTCCTTACTATTGTTGCGCAAACATCTTTACTAAAAAAGGATCTTGGCACCATTTGTATTTGTGTTGCAGTGATTTCTACCAGGATAAGTCGTCGTCATCACCCCAAAATTGGAAGGTAATATTCGATTAATTGGGTAAAAACATACTGTAAATCTATTAACTCGATTTGATTGCTATGAATGATTTAATTTCAACACGGCCTAGTTCTAATCCTACCAAGTTCCCAAAATCAGTCGTAGGAAAAAAAGGCCGATCCACTCTTAAGATTCTGTCCAGCCTTATTGCCATTCTATTCTTCTAGGTCCGTGGAATTTATTTATTCTTTTTTCTCAAATGATATTGGATCAATTTCTGTTGAGGATGATAACATATCTGTAGAACCGATTAAAAAGGCTTTAACATTTGACATGTTGTGTGCTTTTTTATGTTCTGAAAGTGAGATAACTAGGCAATCTACTGGTTGATCTTCAAGATACTATTGTCAATGCCGTTGATGAGATATCTTCTTTTGGACAACCAACAGAATTGCTTATTGGGCTGGAAAGTAAATTATGTGATTCTGAAGAATCACTAAAACAGTCACAAGAGCAAGTCATGGAGATGAAGATCCAATTAGCCAAGTTGCAGATGACCTCATTTCTTTCAAGCAAAATGAAAGTAAGATATTTCATATTGTCACGCTAGTAAACCAATCTAGTTTTTCTTTTGCACGTTTGTGACCGATTAAAATTGTGATAGTGACTCACTGTAACGAGTTGTGAGCAATAAAAGTTTTGATTTTTTCAATCTGTGACCTATAAAAAATTTTAATTCGTGGTTGAAAAATAACTTGTGACCAACAAAAATTTTTAATATGTGGTTGAAAAAGAAGGAAAAGTTATTGACGTGACATATTGTTAAACTGTGACCTTAAAATTTGATAATTTATTACTAAAAATTAATTTGTGACCAATAAAAAAATTTGTGACATGTGACCGAAAATAATGCGCTACCTATTATTTTAATAAGTTGTGACCTATAAAATATGTGATTTGTGACAAAAAATAATGTGTGACCAATTAATTTGAGAATGTCACCAATAAAATAAATGAGTTGTGACCAATAAAATTTTGGATTTGTCATCGATGCATAATATGTGACCTAAAAATTGTTACTGTGACTCACAATTTATTAAGTTGTAATCGAGTTGTGACCAATAAAAATGTTGATTTTGTGATCGATGAATAAGCCGTGACTTATAAAATTTTCTATTTGTGACCGAGAAATACCTATAAAATTCTTATTTGTGACATAAAATAAGTTGTGACCAATAATTTGATAAATTGCGATTGATTTGCAATGAATAAATGAGTTGCTAAGATCACAGTTTACTGGTCACAGGTTTGAGTTCACAAGTCAAGATCATTTTGTATAAGTCACAAATCAATATAAACGAGTCAGGATCAATATGATCAATTAATTTGATAGTTAACTATGGCTAAATAATTCGTTGTTAAGGTTAGAGATCATTGTCACAGGTTTGAGTTCACAAGTCACAGTCCTTTTTTATAACTCACAAATCAATATTAACAGGTTACATGTGTTTGTAGAGTCACAGTTCAAATTTACAGGTCACATTTTATATTACTAGTCACAAGAAACAATTAAGAGGTCCAAAAATCGAGTCAATTATACAAAAAAATATATGGCAGAGTTATCGTCGAAATATTAGTCGGAGTTGGAACAATAACCAGAATCGGAGTATTCGTCGGAATAAATCGGCGACGGAACGGTCACTGGAATCAGAATAGTCGCTGAAATCGGAGCAGTCGTCGGAACGATCGCCGGAGCTGTAGGGGTGGTGGAGGTGGGATGGGTTAATTATGTATATGTCAAATATCTGATTTTAGAAATTTGAAAGTTGTTTTTCTTATTTTTGAAATAGTATATAATAAAAATCTGAGAAATGAATTTTTCCCTTTAATTAATCAAATTAATTAAATATGATTCGTGAATTAATTAATCCAATTAATTAATTCGGGCATATTAATAAGCAACCCAATTATTAATTGGTGAATCTCATTTTTCTAGTTCTCTTTAGTGTGTGACCCATTAGGTTCTCAATTACGATGCCTAACGACGTGAATTATTATTTGATCTAATCAAAGTCGATACATTAAAACACCTCTTTTAATTTATCGTTAATTCATATTTGTCATCCCAAATTGACATCTAGCAATGTGTCAGTGTGTCAGGACAATACATGTGACGGGAAATGTCACGTGGTGTGACAAAATCAAACTTGTTCGTTTACCGTAAAACTATAATCCTTTCATCACTATGATCCGATTGATTACGAGATATGGATATATGTCAATCTCAATTATCGATCATATCTTTTATCCCACTGTTAAGTCAATGTAAGTTAAGAACTCCTTTTCCACTTATGATTTCACATTGGCCAAAGATTTCATTATCAACTTAATTGGATAGAATGTAGATTTTAATCTCTTACTATCGCCCCCACAGAGATTGATTAGTTCAATTTTAATCATTGCGACCATAACCGATACAAGAATAATATGATGTGTTTGTTTGTGATAAAATTATAAATAAACTAATCTATTTTTGCAATTATAAGTAAACTAACTAAACTAAATGCAAATTATACTAAATGCAAATTGATTTGTTTAATAAATNGTCACAGTCATTTTGTATAGGTCACAAATCAATATAAACGGGTAACAGATC